ATCGTCCACAAAATATATTGAGACTTTTAAATCAATCCCCTCCCCCCTTATTTCAATGTTGAAACCTAGTGTACTTGTCCAAAACGAACATAAGGTGACACTAGCACCGCAACTGTGTCACTGGCTGTTGAAATTTAACATATGATGTTGGAATTAAACTATATTGTAGTGCCTAACAACATTGAAATCGGGGGAAGGGGTTTGTCTCAAATATTTTGTGGACGATTGTCTGAAAATTGGGGAAAATCGAGCGCAGGTTTTGGCTATTTACTGCATAATATTTTCATTGGCAGCGCTTATGTTAATGTTAACGAACAAAATTTGCATAACTTATTTGGGCTACATAGTATACATGCCGGTATACAAGTATTATATTATGCGATAGTTTCTCCAAGTTAAGTTAAAATCCATACCTTACAGGCATCTAACGTTCCTTCGCAAGCTTGCCTTCGATTCGAAAAAGATATATCGATAATGAAGAATGAAAAATATGCAACCATCACAAATCAAGATTTTTCTATTTTAAAGTACTATGTTAATTCAAGAACAACGACAACATGTAAACAACCTCGTTCTCAAACTGGAAATTAGCCATTTGGATTAGTTTAATTAATGTATATGCATGGGCTACTGTTTCCGCTCCAAATTCAAATTTAACAACGCGTTACCACGCGTTACCACGCGTTACCACGCGTTACCACGCGTTACCATACGTGTTACCACTAATATCAAATAGTTATTATTGCTACAATAAAACTTCCGCAATAAAAGTTCATTTCTAATGGTTCAAAACTACAAGATCGATATGCAAGCAATGACTAACAATGCGTTACCATGAGTTGCGCACTCGTTACCACGCGTTACCATCTTTTATTTTAAAAAAACTACTATATACATTTTATTAAAAACTTGACGGTAACGCGTGGTAACGCCTTGCTTTATCAACAAAATACCATAATGAATAGAATTACTAGGCGTTAACGCGTATGGTTATGCGAGACAATGCATGGAAATGCATTGTTTTAGTAATAGAAAAGCCAAATAGACAATTTGTACATGGTAACGCGTATGGTAACGCGTGGTAACGCGTGGTAGTGTGTTCTGTTCGTAATAGAAAAGCCATATTATAAAGCATTAGTACATGGTAACGCATGTGGCAATGCGTGGTAACACGTTGCTTTAGTAATTTATATTTCAAAAGCCATATTAAACATTAGTGTATGGTAACTTGACTAAATTAAAACTTTGACCTCACCAAGTAATCAAAAATTAATTAATAAATGGTTATAGTTTCATCAACATTCAATTATCCATTAATTAACTTGAGTAACTAAAGTATTATTAATCCATGTGAAGTTATAGGACTTTCTCTAAGAAGTATGCACGGTTAATTCTCTAACTTAACGGACCGATCCAAGGATGTACTAGTCAGCCCCCCCGCCCCCCCCCTCATCCGGCTCAGAAGAAGACTTGATATGGTACCATTATACAACGTAGAGATCTTTGTATGGGCCTCACAATACTATCCAAATTATAGTGAATAGTAAGACGCTTCTATTACTTCACAAAAATTCCTTTAATATTTAATACTTGCCCCCACACCTCTGGGAATTAAATTCTTCCCCCCCCTCCTCCCCCCACCCCCACAGCTATTGTGCCGCACATAACATGATTTCAAATAACTTCGAGCTGCTGCCATCTAAGTTTTCTTAATTTCTAATATAATCGTCTACCAAACAAATAGTGATATTTTTTGGATCTCTCCCCCATTAATTTCTTTTATATCTCCCCCCCCCCTGGGACAACCTGGCAGTACTGTAGTATTCTATATGTGAACAATAACCCGAATAGTATCATCTACAGTGACTACTACACATGCACACAAAGTGATTTCAAAAAAAACTTCGAGATGCTTTTAACTAAGTCTTATCAATTTTTAAGACAATCGTCCTAAATATATTGAGACTTTTTAAATCAATCCCCTCCCCCCTTATTTCAATGTTGAAACCTAGTGTACTTGTCCAAAACGAACATAAGGTGACACTAGCACCGCAACTGTGTCACTGGCTGTTGAAATTTAACATATGATGTTGGAATTAAACTATATTGTAGTGCCTAACAACATTGAAATCGGGGGAGGGGGTTTGTCTCAAATATTTTGTGGACGATTGTCTGAAAATTGGGGAAAATCGAGCGCCGGTTTTGGCTATTTACTGCATAATATTTTCATTGGCAGCGCTTATGTTAATGTTAACGAACAAAATTTGCATAACATATTTGGACTACATAGTATACATGCCGGTATACAAGTATTATATTATGCGATAGTTTCTCCAAGTTAAGTTAAAATCCATACCTTACAGGCATCTAACGTTCCTTCGCAAGCTTGCCTTCGATTCGCAAAAGATATATCGATAATGAAGAATGAAAAATATGCAACCATCACAAATCAAGATTTTTCTATTTTAAAGTACTATGTTAATTCAAGAACAACGCCAACATGTAAACAACCTCGTTCTCAAACTGGAAATTAGCCATTTGGATTAGTTTAATTAATGTATATGCATGGGCTACTGTTTCCGCTCCAAATTCAAATTTAACAACGCGTTACCACGCGTTACCACGCGTTACCACGCGTTACCACGCGTTACCATACGTGTTACCACTAATATCAAATAGTTATTATTGCTACAATAAAACTTCCGCAATAAAAGTTCATTTCTAATGGTTCAAAACTACAAGATCGATATGCAAGCAATGACTAACAATGCGTTACCATGAGTTGCGCACGCGTTACCACGCGTTACCATCTTTTATTTTAAAAAAACTACTATATACATTTTATTAAAAACTTGACGGTAACGCGTGGTAACGCCTTGCTTTATCAACAAAATACCATAATGAATAGAATTACTAGGCGTTAACGCGTATGGTTATCCGAGACAACGCATGGAAATGCATTGTTTTAGTAATAGAAAAGCCAAATAGACAATTAGTACATGGTAACGGCAATGGTAACGCGTGGTAACGCGTGGTAACGCGTGGTAACGCGTGGTAATGTGTTCTGTTCGTAATAGAAAAGCCATATTATAAAGCATTAGTACATGGTAACGCATGTGGCAATGCGTGGTAACACGTTGCTTTAGTAATTTATATTTCAAAAGCCATATTAAACATTAGTTTATGGTAACTTGATGAATAAATTAAAACTTTGACCCCACCAAGTAATCAAAAATTAATTAAAAAATGCTTATAGTTTCATCAACATTCAATTATCCATTAATTAACTTGAGTAACTAAACTATTATTAATCCATGTGAAGTTATAGGACTTTATCTAAGAACTATGCACGGTTAATTCTCTAACTTAACGGGCCGATCCAAGGATGTACTCGACAGCCCTCCCCCCCCCCTCCCCCACCCCATCCGGCTCAGAAGAAGACTTGATATGGTACCATTATACAACGTAGAGATCTTTGTATGGGCCTAACAATACTATCCAAATTATAGTGAATAGTACGACGCTTCTATTACTTCACAAAAATTCCTTAACTATTTAATCCTTCCCCCCACACACCTGGGAACTAAATTCTCCTCTCCCCTCCCTCCCCCCGCCCACAGCTATTGTGCCACACATAACATGATTTCAAATAACTTCGAGCTGCGGTCATCTAAGTTTTCTTAATTTCTACTATAATCGTCTACCAAACATATAGTGATATTTCTTGGATCTCTCCCCCATTTCTTTTATATCTCCCCCCCTGGTGAACTTGCCAATACGGTACTATTCTATGTGTGAACAATAACCCCAATAGTATCATCTACAATGACTACTACGCATGCACACAATGTAATTTCAAAAAAACTTCGAGATGCTATTAACTAAGTCTTATAAATTTTTTAGACAATCGTCCACAAAATATATTGAGACTTTTTAAATCAATCCCCTCCCCCCTTATTTCAATGTTGAGACCTACTGTACTTGTCCAAAACGAACATAAGGTGACACTAGCACCGCAGCTGTGTCACTGGCAGTTGAAATTTAACATATGATGTTGGAATTAAACTATATTGTAGTGCCTAACAACATTGAAATCGGGGGAGGGGGTTTGTCTCAAATATTTTGTGGACGATTGTAGGTGTGACGTCACCGCTAAAGGTGCTTCAGAACGCCTAGCAGATTTCAGTATTTTTAATATGGCGGAAAATTTATATATACAAATAACCTTGTAAATACGACAATGTTCGTTGATCATGTTCGATGTTTACATAACCAAATTCAAACTGTATTAAAAATGTGCTCAATTAAAAATATTATATACAAATTTACGATACTGAGTCTGAGGAATGGTCGTATAATCGTTCATGTTATTTATATACTCGTATGCAAGTTGTGATCAACACTAGGGCATAATGGTATACACAACTTCACTTTCTACTTGACAGGTTTAAGTAGCTGAGGAGATTGGAAATATTTGCCTGACGTGACTGTGTTCAGTGTTGTCAAAACATTTTTAGTCGGATACTCGGCATCATTTTCAAGCTTCTAGATAGCATTTAATATGGCTTTATATTTTTGTAAACACGAGTCATATTTAGCCCGTTATTCCATTCTGACATTCATTTCATTGTTCCGACAGCATTAGAGCAAAACTAATGACTTATAATTATAAACACAAAGAAAATTTCCATAACATTTTCTATTTACATATGCGGTATGCTTGGTAACCAGGCCAGGGTCCACGTTTTTGATGTCAGGGACCATTTTACCGAAATCTGCTAGGCTCTCTCGCTGAAGCGTTCCGCACAGTACACCCAGGCATAAAACCTTTAAGACTTATTTAAATATATCAAAGCAGCGAATAGAGAGAGAGCCTGGGACTAGGCTAGTGTTTACACTATAACGGAGTGGTTTGCCGTAGCGTATTAATTACACACCAAGCCGACCGACCACAACAGGCACTAGTGGTAGTTTCAAAGTAGATGTCAGTCACCATGGTGCACAGTGGACATGAAACATTGAGGAAGATAGATCTTTTCTTGATTTTTCACATTTGAGTTATATAGTTTATTGCTTGACGACAGAGATTGTATACAGCTTTCATGTGAATTTATTTATATAGAAACAAATCATACACAATGGATCACGTTGCTATGTCAATATCAGATAGTATATATTTTTCACCTTACAGCTCCTAAAAATTATCCGTTTCTATCCAACTTTCTCAAAGGAAATATTTATTACCCTCTTCGTTGATACAATGTCACAATAAGGCGTAGAATTGAGGGAAAGAATGCCCCTGAAAGCCGAATAAGTATGAAGCCGTTATCATGGCGGATGTGCCATTATCGAAATTTTTCGATTTTCCTTGTATATTTTTACGTACATAGCCATTTCTTTCCCATTTTTTCTCTATCCCAGTTTTGTTCCATAACATTTCTTCGCTTTCGGCGCAAAATATCTTTTAGAAACCCTTTACAAATGACCCGATTACAAAGGATTGTTATTTTACTCTTTCACTCATCAGAAATCTACAGAAGCCGCGAAGGGACTTCAGACTTCAGACTTCAGACTCCAGACTTCAGACTTCAGACTTCAAACATTGGTTCCGAGCTTCGCTAATAGCCAACATTGCTCCTGCGAAGCTGGCTAATATTTAAGGCACTTATACAGTCAAAGCTGTTCAAACTAAAGTTAAAAATGGTCAGAATGATTTAGATTGTAAATGAAGACTGTTGGAATGTGTCAGTGAGTTCTGAAAGTTCTTTGCAGGTTTAAGGGCAGAACGATAAAACATATAATACTATTGTTTGTAGAAAGACCACATAAATTTATTACTGCAGTAAATTTATTAACTTTATTCTGTAAATTTATCAAGTTAAGTATAACACGCGCTCAAACCTAATGCGTATAATATACCACTTGAGGTTATGACTAAATTCAAAATTTTTATTTTTCGAAACGTTTCTCAATCGGCAAACAAACTTAAAAAGTATGTTTAGTGCTTTATCTGTAAAATAATGCTAAATTGAAGAGATTTTAGGCTACGCCAAAGAGAAATTACGTCTGAAATTCAGTAAGTTTTGCTTATATTGCTCGGCTTAAATATGGCGTCAATTTTAAAGCATCATTGATAATTGTATTTTAATTGACAATTTTTAACTATGATTTTATGTTTCTCAACCGGCAGATGCATTTAAAAAGGTAGCTAACTGTATAAACTAAAGAATAAAGCAAAAACAATGTGATTCTAAGGGACCGGTCATTATTTATGGCGGGGGGTGGCACCGAAGAGAAAAGGGTTGGGTAAACAAAATTTTGAGTGAGTAAAAGGTTGGGTAAATGAAAAACAAAACAACTCAAGGGTTGGGTAATAATAATTTCCAAAGCATGACTCACTGAAATATTGGAGACTAAAAAGCAATGTCAACAGTCATACGTCAATACAATATGTGAATCAATCGGAGTCACTATCTTGATCACTGTTTTTCAATTTGTTGGGAGACAAATGGTGTCTCCAAAGAAAGTACATGTGCAGACAACATGAAACTTTAGTCTGCAAAAAAATTCACAATCCGTTATCAAACTCATGTCACAGAAGTGGCAAGGGACATGTGTGACAACTGAATGGTACCTTTTTGTAAAGTTTTTGGCCAGGGGTGAGTATTTATTTTTTAATTGATATTTGAGGTTGGGTAATCAAATTTTTTACTTTTTAATGGTTGGGTCAGCAAAATTTGTGCCATGAAAAACATTTCTCTTCGGTGCCACCCTCCACCATAAATAATGACCGCTCCCTAAGAGGAGGAACGCAAAAGCATTGTTGGCTACTAGCGAAGCTCGGAACCAATGTTTGACAGTCAGACTTCAGACTTCGGACTTCAGACTTCAGACTTCAGACTTCAGACTTTAGACTTTAGACTTTAGATTTTAGACTTCAGACATTGGTTCCGAGCTTCGCTAGTAGCCAACATTGCTTTTGCGTTCCTTCTCTTAGAATCACTTTGTTTTTGCTTTATTCTTTAGTTTATACAGTTAGCTACCTTTTTAAATGCATCTGCCGGTTGAGAAACATAAAATCATAGTTAAAAATTGTCAATTAAAATACAATTATCAACGATGCTTTAAAATTGACGCCATATTTAAGCCGAGCAATATAAGCAAAACTTACTGAACTTCACTACATAATTTTCTCTTTGGCGTAGTCTAAAATCTTTTCAATTTAGCATTATTTTACAGATAAAGCACTAAACATACTTTTTAAGTTTGTTGCCGATTGAGAAACGTTTCGAAAAATAAAAATTGAGTCATAACCTCAAGTGGTATATTATACGCATTAGTTTTGAGCGCGTGTTATACTTAACTTGATAAATTTACAGAATAAAGTAAATAAATTTACTGCAGTAATAAATTTATGTGGTGTTTCTACAAACAATAGTATTATATGTTTTATCGTTCTGCCTTTAAACCTGCAAAGAACTGTCAGAACTCACTGACACATTCCAACAGTCTGCATTTACAATCTAAATCATTCTGACCATTTTTAACTTTAGTTTGAATAGCTTTGACTGCATAAGTGGCTTAAATATTAGCCAGCTTCGCAGAAGCAATGTTGGCTATTAGCGAAGCTCGGAACCAATGACCACAACCTGATGTTCTTTGACATCTTACTTCATATTAAATCAACAGGTTTTGACAAGAGAACTGTTTTTGATTTCCACCACGCAGACTGGAACGGCCTATATCACGCCCTTAATCACATCAATTTATCACCCAACGAGTCGAGCGATATCAACAATGATTGGAAGCAATGGAAAGACCTCTTCCTTGGTGCCGCGACTGATTATATTCCGCTCAAAACCTTCAAACGGCGTAGCTCTCCTCCATGGATTGACGGTGAAGTCAGGCGTCTTCTCTCAAAGAAAGACTCGTGTAGGAAAAAGGCGAAACTTTCCTCATCTGCTAATCTCTGGGAAAAATTCCGTGATCTTCGACGTGCGGTCAAGACATTAGTAAGAACCAAGCGAAGAGAGTACTTCCACAAACTTCCATCTTTGCTAAATTCGAGCAGTAAAAAGTTCTGGTCTGTCTTCAAATCTACCTCGAAACATTCTAACATTCCCAGTAAAATGTCGTGGACCCAACAAGATTCAACTTCCTCCACAGCTGAAAACCCTGCCGACATTGTCGACCTGTTAAACCGTTGCTTCTACTCGGTGTTCAAGCATTCCGATGCTACTGACGACCATTCCCCTTCTGTTGCTCCTGATAAGGACACGACTGATCTTACCACCATCGCAGACATCTCGTTAACAGAAGAGGAAGTATGTGTTGTACTCAAAGCACTGGATGCAGCCAAAGCCACCGGCCCCGACAAAATCCCAGCGTTACTGCTGAAGAACTGTGCAGTTAACATCAGTTCATCTCTATGCCAGCTGTTCAACAAGAGCTTATCTTATGGAATTCTGCCATCCGAATGGAAGCTGGCCAACATCAGTCCAATTCGAAAAAGAAACCCTATTCACGACGTAACCAACTACAGACCAATATCACTGTTGTCATTAGTTTCGAAAGTGTTTGAACGCTGTATATATAATAGACTTATAGAACACGTATACGGTCAAATTTACGAACTGCAGTGTACGGTTTTCTCAGGGGCAGATCTACAACATCACAGCTGCTACACATTCTCCATCAAGTTCTTAACGTTCTTGAGCAAAAAAACCAAGTTGACATTGTCTACCTGGACTTTGCCAAAGCTTTTGATAAAGTAAATCACGATCTATTACTGGTGAAGCTTCACAACTTCGGTATAAGAGGAAATCTTCTTCGTTGGTTCAGAGACTTCGTTTCTGGGCGATTCCAGAGAGTCACTGCGCTTGGCGTTACATCAAAACCACTTCCAGTTCTATCAGGTGTTCCCCAGGGATCAATTCTTGGGCCACTTCTATTCATAATTTACATCAATGATCTCCCGAAATGTGTCTCAGACGATACTACCATGGCAATGTTTGCTGACGATACCAAATGCCACCGTCCTATTAAAAATTCCCAAGATAAGGTAACCCTTCAATGCGACCTGGACAACATTACCAACTGGTGTCACGACTGGAAAATGGAGTTAAATGAAAGTAAGTGTGGAGTGCTACATCTTACAAGATCTCGTGAACCAACCATCACACAGTATACGGTGCTTGGTACCCCAGTTATCCGACCTAACAGTCAGAAAGATGTTGGCATATCTATAACTGGTGACCTCAAATGGAACAAGCAAGTGCAGGAGATTTCGTCGAAGGCCAACAAGATGCTGGGTTTCGTGAAGCGAACAACATACATGATTGGTAACCTATCGGTCCACAAGGCACTCTACCTGACTTTGGTTCGCAGTCAACTGGCGTACGGTTGTCAAGTATGGGCACCCCAGACGGTCAGCAACATTCTAACCATCGAACGTGTTCAGCGGCGTGCCACCAAGTTCATCCTATCTCTGCCATGCCAAACAGATATCTCGTATAAAGAAAGATTGCAGGTCCTTGGCATCATCCCTCTATGTTACTGGCATGAATATTTAGACATAATTTATATCTTTAAAAGTCTCATAAATGACTCTGACAGCAATATCTCGGTCAAAGTTTCAACACGAGAAACAAGAAGAGCAAGTAATGGAACTTTCCTAAATGTGGGAAAGTGCAGAACTGTCAACTACCAGAACAGTTTTTATATAAGAGCCGCGAGCGTGTGGAACACTCTTCCTCGTTATATTAGAGACACAACTAAGTCTATAGGATCATTCAAAACATTACTACGCAAGCACTATAAAGATCTAACGGACAGTGTTTTCAACCCCTATGACCCGAGAACTCTTAAGTTAGTTTGTGTGAAATGTCACACAAGCAAGCCTGGAAATAAGCGTCCGGTCACGGTCATTGACCGGCACATATACGCGATTTGCAGTGTTTTGACAGGCACAAATTCGATTGTGTCTGTCACTTTGTCCGGCGCTCATTTCAGTTGTTAAACTAAACTAAAATAACCTTCCTGTCGACAAATTCTCTATTATTTGTGCTATAAAGTTTAAAATTATTCGGTTTACACGATGCTTTAAGCTTCGGATACACGAGCAATATTTTTGCTGCGATGGTTACGCAATGGGTAATAACAGCATTGCGTTGCCGTCGCACAAGGGTGGCTACACCTGCAATATTTCACCTGCAATATATGTCTTCATAACGCTTTTCATTGGCTGGTCAAGAAACGAAACGTGTTATTCATCAACCTTGACCTTCCTTGACCACACCTCCCAATTTTCGGCAATCATTGCCGAAAATCAAATGATTTGAAATTTCGGCAACGATTGCGCGCAGCTTTGCGTTGCCGTCGCAGAGCATGATACACAAGCAATTTCTTTCTCGCGACGGCAATGCGACGATTTTACCACCATTGCATTGCCATCGCCAGAAAAGTATTGCCCGTGTATCCGTAGCTTTAAACGCGACGCCATGTTTGTGCAGTGTTTCCACCATGATAAAATTTCCTTCCTATTCGTCCCATGATGAAGAATGATGATCAAACTTCCTTCCAAGTGGAAACGTCATTTGCGAGTTTGGCGGTAATTTTTTGTTGGACTTGAACCGCGAAAAAAATTAAAATATCGAAGAAAATAACTGATTTGGTTTTTTTTTTTTTGGATGGTTGGTTCGTCTGTACGATTTTCATTATGCACTTGTTGTGAAAGATTGCTAAACTCACTTGTATTTGTATTTATATTGTATTTTGCTTCATACAATGCATATGTGTGTGGAAACATTACATTATTATTCAGCTCACTCCCCACATTGGGGCTTTTCAGTGACCGATTACATCAAGTACTATGATTACTTATGTTAGCCTGGACTATTTATCTTTACAACAACGAGAATATGATACTACTTTCCTAACTGTGTTTATCCTAACCCACCCTGCCAAATCCGCCCTGTGGGAGGAAACCGGAGCAAAATATAAAATTCGATTACCTTGAAAACACCTAAATTGCAATCCCTAAAATTTAAGATTTTTTCTTAAATCGCCTAAAATCGCATTAAATCGCAGTGCTTGAAAGTCCCAGTTTTTCCTTAAATCGCCTAAAATCGCCCAAAATCGCATTATCTCACGGCGATTTAAGGCGATTTACCGCCCCAGAGTAGGCCTTCCGCTTCGTTCACTCGTTCGTTTGCAATCTTTCACGACTCGTGCATAAAAATCGTACACGCTCACCAACCATGCAGTAATCTCTATGTATTTAATGATTTTAACCATTGCATATTTTGTATCCTATGTTTTTGGCAGTCCGGTACAATGACCAGTACGTTTTGTTTCATGACAGGCACAAATTCATTGGTGCTGGTCATTTTGACAGGCAGGTCTCCAAAAATTATTTCCAGGCTTGGATGACTTATCGCTTACCGTGGAGGACGCCTAGTGTTTCCACTATATTTCTGAACTATCACATCTAGTTTAAGTTTCATATTATCCAGGGATGGATCCAGCATGGTCTGGTAGGGGGGGTGCTCTGCCAAAAAATTTTTTCGGAAAGCAACAACCTCCCCCCCCCCTCATCGACAACTTTTTAGGGAAAAAATTTTTCCGGACGAGTACGTTGCAATTGCTTTCCAGTGACTTTACACATCCATCAACTTGCTTAACCACTGCAAAGTCTAGCTACAGTATTTGAATTGTAATTGTTGTTCACAGTTCGCTTATCATCATGTTATTACTCAAATTACTGAATCTCATTTTGTCTCTGATAATTTTTTGCTTTATCATGAAAAATAGCACCCCCCCTGCACCCCTCCTGGCCAGGGCTAGGGGGGGTGTGCACCCCCCCGCACCCCCCCCAGTAAATCCATCCCTGCTCCGACCTATCCCTTTCTGTCTCCCTCTACTACCGATATATTGACGACTGCATCACACCAGCTAGCAATCCGGAAGAAGCCGCGTTTATCCAAAACAAGTTAAACTCCCAATACCCTGCAATCCGTTTTGAGATTGAATTACCGGACGTAGATGGCTTCCTTCCATTCCTGAACACTAAGATCAAAGTGAACGAATCTGGATGCGTCGAAACGGGGTGGTACACAAAACCTGCCAATAAAGGTCTGATGTTGAATGAAAGATCCCATCACCCAGAACATATGAAACAAGCCTGCATAAGTAACACCATCAACACTTACACCGCGATATGTTCGAGTGACGCCTTACTCGAAGAAGCTGAGCAGACGTTCAAAAGAAGAGCTATACGGAACGGTTATGATAACAGCTACGTTGATCGAGTCAAGCAGAGAAAGAAAACAACACAGAAACAGAAAGAATCCCTCCCCACGCTGACTATCCCGTATGTGTCAAGTGGCTTCACGAACGACAACAAAAGAGCGGTTAAACGTTCTAACCTGAACGTACGAATAATTCAACGACCCCAAAGCTCCCTCAAGAACCTCCTTGTCGAGTCAAGACCCCACGATAAGTCGTGCAAAGACGTCTCCAAATGCCCTATTTGCCACAACTCATCTATTCCCGTGCAGTGCTCGCAGAAAGACGTCGTCTATTTAATTAACTGCGATCTGTGTGGACGAGGCTATGTTGGTGAAACTAGTAGACCTTTAGTCGTCCGTTATAAAGAACACTACCGATCCGCAGCTAATCCCACAGCACCATCATATAAGAACATGGCTTTTTCCAGACACTATATCGAGTGCCACCCTGGACAGGAACCAAAGTTAGCTGTGAAAATTCTGAAGAAAACAAGTGGCTCATTGGACCGAAAGATCACAGAAGCATTATTCATCCAGAAGCTAAAACCAGATTTGAACAATAAATACGAACAGCTTAGCGTAGCAAATTTTCTAGTGTAAGGATTTATATAATATTTTCGGACACGCTCGGTAAAACACTTAGTTCTAATATATCTAATTGATATATTTAAATTCTCGGACACGTCAATTATATGTTTACGCAAGCGGATACACGCGAGCTAATAACGGTCGCATGCTTTAACGTGTTTTTTTTAGTGCGTATAAATGTAACCTGATGATGGAGTAAACTCCGGATCGTTGTTACAATTTATCAAATTTGTTATAAAAAAAGCCTTCTGGTCGTTACTAAAAAGAAAATTATTACATGACGGAAAATTATTACATATTGGTAGATGGCAAACTACCATAATGGCAAACTACTACTGCCATCTACCAACCGAAGACGTCGTAGAAACATCATTTGGTTTAATCCACCCTTCAGCAAAACAGTTCGAACTAACATCGGTCGAAATTTCCTACAGTTAATTGATAAACATTTCCCTTCTACCAACCCGCTCCATAAGGTCTTTAACCGCAGCACAGTCAAAGTTAGCTACTCCTGCATGGAGAATATCAAAACCATAATAACCCGACATAACCATCGCCTGTTAAAGAAAAACCCTACACAAAAACCTGCCCCATACAACTGCCAAAAAACAGATGAATGCTCACTAGACGGAAAGTGAAAAGTAGACAACATTGTCTATAAAGCCACGATGACAACTGATGACGGAAATACAAAAGAGTAAATTGGAATGACGGCCGATCCATTCAAAGAAAGATACGCCAACCACAAAACGTCATTCAACCTCTACAACCACTCGTCTGACACAAAGCTTTCGAAGTACATTTGGAGACTCAAGCAAAGTAGAAGAAATTACAGCATCAAGTGGTCCATCTTGAAACGAGCTGCTGCGTACACGCCTGGTGGAAAGCGATGTGGCCTCTGTTTGGAAGAGAAATTATGTATCCTGAAAGCGAAAGGAAACAATTCACTGAACACGCGATCAGAGTTTTATGCAAAGTGCTGTCACAAGGAAAAATTTAGCGCGTGAAAATTCAAACCGGTGACGATAGACAAACCTCCACGTCAGCGAGCGACCGTTGATATTGACGAATCAAACACTAACTGAATTAATTGCCTGAAGATCGTCTTGAATAAGGCGTCAAACTTGAGTAGCAATAATTAATTTTAAGATATAAATATATCTTGCTCTACTAGTGTTGAGCACTTTATTATCTACTACAACAAAACAAGTTATAGGTATATATAACAGGTAAATATATTATATATATATACAGGGTGTATAAAAAAAAACGCAATCCTCAACTGAAATGTAAATTGCTAAACAAATAATAGACGAAAACGTTAAAGTTTACATTCATTTTAAAGCGTAGCCATTCAGCTTTCTAACAGTGGGTTGTTTCTTAAATTTGACTCATTGGTTCGCGGGTAATAATAATTAACGTTATTGCGATTGGAGATTAAAAAAATTGAGATGGAATAACAAATCGTTCTGATGAAAATAACTGATTTTTTCATTAAAACAAACAAATGTTGCATTTTATTAAATGGATTGTAACAATAAGTATAATTACGGCTTTTCTTCCACTATTTTTAACTCAGTTTGAAACTTCAAATGCGATATAATTTTGGCTTGGACCATCTAAGCTGACTGACATCAACTTGCTATAATTTCTGTTTGCATTACATCGCAATTCGATGACACTCTGGCTCAGACACCAGAATGTTTTGATTCTATGATTTTTAGCGTTCGTTTGGGATTTTCAAACAACCTGGTCTCTTTTAAAATACTTTTAATTTGTTCTTACGTGGTTTTCCAGATGTAATGACGACAACATTAAAGTTTAAAGAAGAAAATTCTAACATTTAAACCTACTAAACAATAACATAGTAGACTTGCATAATTAAAGAGCAACTAAAAATGATAGGTTTTACTAAATCTTTTCCTGTGCAATCATTACTAGCATTGGAGATAAGGATAATAGTTTGTTTGAAAGAGAAAAGAACAGGCTTTGAAGTAAGCCTAAAAGCGTTTAACTAGAGATAGTATTTCGAAAGTTATTAAGCACAAAAGATGAATTGCGTTTATTTGGATACACCCTGTATATATATATATATATATATATATATATATATATATATATATATATATATATATATATATATATATATATATATATATATATATATATTGTGGTCGTTTGAGCACTCTGGCCCCATTACGCTTTGCGCATGTCTGGATGCGTTGAGTCACCGTGTTGTACCACATGCCTTGGCGAGAGCAAGTTCATGTTCATGTTCACGTATCTAGACGTGTACCAAGCTGCACTGACGAGGCGTTGAAACATGCATGTCTGCAGATTGTACTATATATTATATATATATATATATATATATATATATATATATATATATATATATATATATATTTATTTAATCTTAAAAATGGTACATGTTGCTACTCAGAGTTTCATGAAACTCTGAGTAGCAACATGTACCATTTTTAAGATTAAATAAATATTGCTCTACAAATTTTTGTATTGAGCACTCTTTAATCTACTGCAATAACAAAACTTTGTTATATATATATATATATATATATATATATATATACATATATATATATATATATATATATATATATATATATATATATATATATATATATATATATATATATATATATATATATATATCGTCAGCGAACTATAGGTTATGTATATCATACTTAAAATTAGTTAACTCTGCTTGGCTAAGCAAGACAAACCTCATTCAACAATTGTTAAGTATTTTTCACCATGGTTCTGTTCAGAAATACATCGAAGCCATGCTGTGTGTAGCCTATATACTGAAACAAATTCGTAATTTCCAAGACTGAGTACTTATTGTTTTCGATTATATAGATATAATTAGGTGTTTTTAACGCTATTTTTTGCGGCTCAAGATATGACAAACATAATAAGTCAATTAAAATATACGTTGGTATTGTTCGCTTATAAGTAATATAATTTTTAGGAACAGACCTTTTTTGCGTTTCACGCGACTTTCGATAAATAAAACATGTATATTAAGATCTGGAGTATTGCATTTGGATTCTTAAAAATTGGTCTCAAAAGGAGCTACAATATTTTTCTTTGTGGTCATGACGGCTTTTTCTTTTGAAGTAAGCAACCTACATATTTGTTGTTGCTAGCGTGGAAGTGGTTGCTGCCTTCTGATGTGGGAAGCTGTAAAATATATGAGTTGCAAAAAAGGTTCTAATACAGACTGTGCATTATCGATGGTACCTACAATCCTATTTTATCAATTTTCGTTGCAGCTGATACCAATTGCGATAGGGGATGGAACTGGATACGTAATTCGTGCTATATAATAGAAAAAACACCTGGTAAATCGTGGCACAACGCGTCGATGGCATGCATTAAATTGAATGCTACCTTGTTAAAAATTGATAATTTGGAAGAGCAGGGAAGCGTAAATGATCTCGTACGCAGTGAATCTTCTCAATTGGTAAGGACCCTATTTACAGACTGTATAGTATTAGTTTTAAAATCGTCAATGCATCTGGTGGACGGGAAATCTGATTGGTTGATCAGCATCATGAAAGATTTTGATTGGTTGCAAGTTCACATAAACAATATTTTATAAATAGCTCGGTCAATGTGACAAGGTCAAACGCATGTATCAAATTCCATTGTGTTTATCGTAATAGTATTGTCGAATTTCTTTTGTTTAATATGCTTTATGGCTTTGACGAAGTTTGGACACACGACGCTGAAAGAACAGCAAAAGTCATGTATTCGAAAGCTTGTTGTTGACAGCCATGCATTTAAGGCCCAAGATGTCTTTTCCGTTCTGCCAAATGGCTTCGGCGACAGTCTTATTCATCAGGTCTATATACCGGCGTTGTTTTCTGAGCTATATCGCCTTCGTCATGGTACGATAAAGAATTTCGTTATTGCTGTTGTTATCCCGTTAGAAATTGTATATCCGCGTCCAGCAAGTTGAGACCTTGAGAAAGCTTAAGGTATTCAAGCCGTTTGTTTTAATAGATCCCTCGTTTAATGATGTAGCTGCGTAAATGTGGGGGGTGTGTGGGGGGGTGGTTCACCCCCCCAGGGGAAAAAATAGTCGGTCTCAAAATAAGTGCAGTCAGTGCAGTCGGTCTCAAAATTATGTATCGGCGACTAAATTAATCAATGAAGTAAACAATGGCGAAATAGACGGGCAAAATCCAAAATACTTAATATATGTATGAATATATATGATGTATTTACGTATGATTGCTTTGATTGGATATCACAATGCGCACCAAAGGTTCACGTAGTTTCCAATTTTCCACGTATGGAAAGTTTAACTTTAAGACGTTACGATTAGATTAGACGATATTATAAAGGTCAATTAGGTCATTTGCGCAGGATATTCAATATTAGGAAATAATCTATAAATTATATAATGCTGAAGCAGCTGAACTTATGAACCCTAGACGTCGGACTCCGGTCTCCACAATACTTTTAAATCTCAATTAAAATACCTTTGGAAATTTCCTATACGTTCAGATTTTATATTCCGTATTTCCGTAGGCTCAAAACCAACGCAACTAAAATATTGCGAATTTTTAAATTTGAGCCGAGTATGTTCGGTGTAACACGATACACTTTTGTTACCACTGAAGTGGGTATATAAACCCTTTCAATCACATTGTCAGCATAAACCACACGGGCAGCATTAATATTCAGCATAAACCTCGAGGACATCAGAATTTTCGAGACGCTCATAGACCATAGTATCTTTAGGCTGTGACGTGTCGCGTGCGTAGGTTCTATGCTTGCGAAGACGCTGTTAATGCTAATTAGATAAAGCGAAAACACCCTTCCTATAGGCGTGTGCGCGCGTCATATTTCTGAATAGGTGCAACCTAAATTGCATACGTCACACGAAACTATAGTATAGAAATAGTATAAAATAACCTTGGCATGTATAAAAAAAATGTTTTTCACTCTTATTCTGTTATGAGTAAGTTGGTCTAAGAAATTGAGAGAGCTTGTTACGAAGATATTGATATTTCAAAATATATTCTTGATTGTCAAATACGAATAAACGGAATAGAATAATATCTGTCGAACAGTTGGTAAGAAGTTATCGGAAGCATAGTTTTATCTTTTGGATTGGAGAAAGGAAAGGTTAGTTTGTTAACGCGTTTCAGAAACACGTAAATAAACTTTAAATTATTAAATGTAAAGTCGATATATTGAACTTTATTAAATTAAGAATTTTTACTCAACCCAGTAGAAATATATACATAAAACGTATATAATCCAACAGCCAAGCCACACTAAGTGATCACTAGGCTAAACCGTATGTTACTTCCAGATGCCTGTTGGAAGACGTTACAAAGTCAAGTGTGGAATTTGTGGGTCAACGTTCAATAACGATTATACCAGTAAGCACTGCCGCACTTCCCACCCCAGTTACAACGTTACCACACTCCCAACCACGGTATGTAGAGAATCTAACCAATCTACACTTTCTGCACTCTTTGCATCTCATGTACAAGAACAAGCAAAGTCGCCATCACGTTCACCTCCCAATGACACTCAGTCTGACCAGTCATCGGATGAAGAGCATCAACCTGAGGCACCCATAGAAGTCGAGGAGGCCCTATTTCGCGAGACATGTGAAAACGATCCACAGTCGGAGATTGAGCAGCAGCATGAGATGACAAGTGATGAAGAAATGGTTGATAAGCCATCACCAGAGCAGCAACGAAACGTGAATCGCGATGATCAAGTTGACAAAATTACTTCTGAAAGTTCTGATAGTTCGGATTCTAGTATTGCAGACACCGATATTGCAACTGAGAATTCTACTGAATGCTGGATTACATGTTATGGCAAATTACGGCATTTGACATCTACTGTTGGCGAATGTCAAGAACTGCTTTCAGTTGCCGATAATGCTGATGCCCCAAACCCAAAGCACTTACTTGGTGATTTGGTGGATATTGTTCAGAGAATAAATGTTCAGAGTTCATCTTTACTCAAGATGGCTGTCAATGAACTGACAAAGCTTGATGATGTCCCATATGAAGAAAAATCTAATAACCCTCTGGATCATTCTCCTATCGAACGTGACCCGGCCAAGAGGCGGAATATAATCTCTGACGCAGACAGGATTTGCCTGATAGACCAAGGCCAGCCCAAACTCACGCGTTATCCTAGAAATCCTAACATAAAGGATAAGAAAAAACAATGTACGTTTTCATCAGAATGGTTCAAACAGTATCCATACCTAGAATATTCCCTCCACACAGACAAAACTTATTGCTTTGTGTGTCAGTTATTCCCTCAATCTGACTCCAGGGATGCTTGGATTAAAGACGGTCAGAACGCGTGGGACAAGATGAAAAGTGTCGGACAAAAGAAGATAGGGAAGCTATCCGCTCATTTTGGTTGCAGTAGTCACAAAGCCGCGTTACAGCAGTTGGCTAATTTCGTCGATCCAAGAGGACACATTGACTTGTTGATGGATAAAGCTCGACGAAAACAGATGATTGATAGTGCAGCAGAAATCGAACGTAACAGAGATGCGATCAAAATTATGCTCGATATCACTAGAACACTTGCACGTCAAGGCTTGGCCATGCGTGGATCTAGCGAAGAAAATGAAGGGAACAGTAATTTCAATCAGTTCGTGCAGTTACTTTCGAGACATGTGCCGTCTTTCAAACGGTGGCTAGCTGATGCCCCCAAACGTCCTCATGCTGCCAGATATCTTTCTCCAAAGTATCAAAATGAATATATCAAGCTGGTTGGTGAAGATGTTTCCAACAGAGTGACAGAAGAGATAAATAGGTCTGCAATGTGGAGCGTGATTGCTGATACGACCCCTGACGTGTCTCACACTGATCAAATGGCAGTAGTGGCTCGATATGTTTGTCCGGATTTCGGTCTTCCAACTGAACGCTTGGTCGACATCAAAGACATCAATGATAAAACCGGGGATGGGCAAGCACTGGCGATTATCGCATCACTCGACAGAAAGTGTCTTGATAAAAACGGTATTGCTTTCCAATCGTACGACTTCACTGCATCTATGTCAGGTGTATTCAGGGGATGTCAAGCAAAGATGCAAACTCATCTCGAACGTGACATTCCATATATACCCTGCACGGCCCACAGAATAAAAACGTCAGTGGAGCACAGCTGCGAGGCGAGTGTACCAGTATGTGCACTTTTTGAGCTATTGCAAGAGCTCTTCGTTTTCGTCACATCCAGCACTAAGCGATTCGATGTTTACCGCGAGAAAGTGAAACAATCCGACGAAGAACTGTTGATGCTTCGCAATCTGTCGGCCACGCGTTGGGTAGCACGCGAAGAATCTATTCGTGCCGTATGGAGCTCCTACACAGTCGTATTAGAAGTCCTCGAGGTCCTGACCGACTCCAAGTACGACACAAAAACACGAGTAAAGGCGGGAGCATTGCAGGATAAGATGAAATCTTTCAACTTCTTGGTGATGTTGATGTTCATGAAAAACGTCATGGGTAAGACCAAGTGTTTGACTACAGAAGTTCAAGGCATCGAAATGAATATAATTGATACCATCGAAAGTTTCAAAGCAACCATTACGACGCTCGAACACATCCGCAATGACGGCGAGGGCCTGGAAAATCAGATACAAGCGACTAAGTCTGTGGCCGAACAACATGGCATCGATCCTGATGACGAATATAACAGGCATCACCGCCAACGCAAGAAGCCTCGTCGTATCGACGATCACCCTGAAACGGCAGCCAATCTTTGTCTGGTGGAGCATTACAGGAAAGAATTTTTTGCGGTACTTGATGCCCAAATAAATGCAATAAAGGCAAATCTGGAGGCTGTTACAAATATACTTCAACTGGCCGTGACCCTGCTTCAACCACCCTACATTGGCCCAGTCGACAATACAGAATTGGTACGGTTCTGTGCTATGTTTCCAGAGTCGATGCGACAGGATGAGGACGCCTTGGAGGCTGAACTGACCACGTTCCGATGCCATTTGAGTGAAAACCACAAGGAAATTCGATCAGTCAACGATGTCCTAGTTTATCTGAAAACCCGGAGTGAAACACTGTTTCCACTGACTAGACGATGTTTCAAATTGCTGCTTACAGTGCCTGTAACATCCGCATCTGCTGAACGCAGTTTTTCAAAGCTCAAATTAGTAAAAACTGTTATGCGTTCAGTAATGAAACAGGAACGTCTCAATGAATTATAGACTCTTGCGTGTGAGCGTGACCTGACGGACACGATCGATCTTGACAAAATCGCCGATCGGTGGTCAAACTTGACTAAGCGCGGACGCTTGATGAAAATATGAGGACATAGTCAAATCTTTGCTAATTCATGTATAGTCGCCACAACAGTATATCAACGATAAAGGTCCATGCAAATGATGTAATTAATATCACTTTCATAAGTTGTCACAGATTCACACTAGTACTTTGCACGTTCTTGCAAAATACTTAAATAAATATGAATTCCAATGCGTACTACTCAATTTTGCTCATGTTATAAGCGTTTTCTGACCATCAGAATTCTGCAAAATCCCTCCACCCCCCAATTCAGTAAATGGCATTTCAGGGACTCTACATTCAAAAATTTCCCAGGGAGTATGCCCCGGGACCCGCTGGGCTCGTGCATGATTGCGCCACTCGTATTAGGGAACGGTGCATAAGTCGGTCTCATTTTTGCTAAACACCCCCCCACACAAAATCGATATGTACGCCCCTGAATTGTAGCAAATGACTTTAGCGTATTTTCTTGACTCACTTGAATTCCATGCAATTGCGGAAAGTAGATCGCAGAGAACAAAAATATTTGCATTCAGTCCTTGCACAGAACTGACTAAATCTTTGTTTGCTGTTCGGTTTATAAATCACAGTTAATAGACTAAGAGGTTAAATTAAATAGAGAAACTGAACTCTTAAATGTACCTTGAATTTTTAAGTTTAAAAAGCAAAATGCACACTTGTGGACATGTTCATGAGAATATAAAAACAAATAATCCAACATGAAATGAATATCTTTATATTTTTGGTATTTATTTTCGTGCAAATGCAATGAAATTTACAATCATCATTGTATGACTGTGTCTAAAAATAACACGTGGGCGTCCCACGGTTTAGACAGGTTTTGTGTCAGGTCCTATTCTAAGTTAGGGCCTGAATTTCAGGTTACCATGAACGAAGCTTTCTGATTGGAGAATCATGGTCACGTGGAAACATATGGCATTAAGTAGGAGGTCTGTGTTTATTATTACTGAGGTCAGCAAAAATTTGCCAACCCTTGTTGATGTTGATTAATAGATGAATATAGTCGAGTAAATGCGAACAAGAAAAATATTAATGTTTGGGCCAATTTATTGGGGGAAATATTTTGGATGTACTACATGTGAGATTGTCAGGTGCAGTTAAGGTGGTATAGTTCGCCTGAAGTGTCCTATCAAAGTGTTAAAAGAGGGTACTGAAGGGGTAAAATGGGAACTGGGATTGATCTATTCTAAGACTGGGAAAATGGGATTTGGGTTGCTGGGACTGGGATATGGCCACTGGGAATGGTAAATGAAGTCCTCAAAAATGGGAATGGGATTAAGGTAATGCGAGTCGATTTCCAATTTTTCCACGTTTTAAGTATTTTAAATACAATTTTGATCCATTTTTGGTGTCTTTGGTCATGATTTTTGTTGTTAACTATATTATTCACAGCACTACCTGCGAACAGGCATACTCCGGCGCCCGGAATTCTGGGTTTTCTGATTATGCATGTCCCCACGTCAGATGCACGTACAGCGGAATATATGCCCGGTTTGCGGTATATACTTCATCTAACCCTTAGTATAGTTAGTTTGATTCGTTTATTCAAATAAAACACTTTGCAGTCATAGACTGAATTATGTGAATATTTAATTTACAACAATTGAGTTTTATACATTATTACAACAATTTTGAATAATTAAAAATAAAAGTAACTGAGTAAGTCAATTTATCACCTAGATTAATTGTTGTTAAAATTTATATATTTGAGCTATGACTAATAATAAAAGAATTTTTGAAACGATCTGTCTTACTAACAGGAACATTAAACATTCGTTCGCTCCTTAAATCGTTATGATGATGTGCTTGCGATGGAAGTAGGCCACTGAGCTTATGATTCGGTTTATTAACAATATCTTCAAAAAGACGACTTGATAGTTGGGCTCGTCTGTCGAAGAGAGTGGAAATGCCGGCATCTTTTAGCGCGTCAGCATATTTAAAGTCCGGGAGGATGATACGCATAGCGCGCCTTTGGATACTCTCAAGTTCATTTGACAGATATTTAGGGAGACTCCGATGAAACAACTGGCACGAATATTCCAGAAGTGATCTGATGGCACTACAGTAAAAAGTGATAAGATCTTTTGGACAGATCCCGGCTCTTTTTAATTGTCTCAAAAGATACAGTCGTTTTGTGGCTTTTACGGCAACGATACCGATATGGTCGTTCCACTTAAAATCGTCCCGGATTGTTACGCCAAGAATTTTGGCCACGCTAACTCTTTCTAACTGGAAATCATTCAGTTCGACTAAAGGGAATGATGGAGGGTTTCTCTTGAAACATGATCGTAATCGATTTTCTTGAGACCATGCATCGATATAGTCAACAGCTTGCTGACGAGAGCTTTGCTTGGAGGGTGGTATCACTTCAGAGATTGTGCAATCATCGGCGAATTTCCACATAGGTAAGGATTCCTGAGATAGTTTAAGATCATTGATTAGTACTAAAAACAACCAGGGACCAAGACGAGTTCCTTCAGGCACTCCTGCTGGGACGTCAAGCCAATCGGAAACGATGTTGTTAGTTTAACCCTCTGCTTTCTATGTCTTAGGAAATCAATTATCCAATTGACAGCCGTGGGTTTTACGCCTATACTAAACAGTTTGGCGACTAAAATATTGTGGTCCACGAGGTCAAAAGCTTTGCGGAAATCTAAAAGTATATTCATTGGTGCTGGTCATTTTG